GTGCTCATTACTACTGAAGAATCACCGCTCTGAAGCCTTCTCAGTAGAAAGAGCTAAGAAATGTATGTGCATACGCACATGTACTCATACATGCCCCACCCACACACTCGTATTTTCTTCCATTTCTCTACACATTGAAAACCATAAGCTCACACTGATACATCCAATTCAAATTTAACACCATTGGGTATATTATAATTTTTGCTCTCTATATAGTTCTAACCCTCTTCTCTGACAGTGAGACACCTGCCTTCTATTGTCCTTAAGGTGTTAACTTATTTGATCAATAACCCATCTGGAACCAAGGTCTCATTTCTGCTGACCCCTCCCTCCTCACTCTACTTGGGCTCTGACTTCCTTTGCTGGGCTGATCTTTCTCTGTGTGGATGCCCGACTTCCTCTGCTTGGGCTCCAATACCCTACATAGGTGTCTGCTCATCCTGCACAGAGCTCTGACACCTTGTGTCAGCTCCATCCCTGTACAGATACCTAAACTGCAGTTGCCCGTGCCAGGCAGCCCATCAGTGTGGCTCCCCCTGACACCCCAGCCTGGGCTACAATGGTTCACACTCCCTCTTGCCTGACAAGTATGGATGCTGTATTGGTCTGTTCTCACACTGCTAATAAAGACATACCTGAGATTGGGTAATTCATAAAGGAAAGAGGTTTAATTGACTCACAGTTCAGCATGGCTGGGGAGGCCTCAGGAAACTTGCAATCATGGGAGAAGGCGAAGCAAACATGTCTTTCTTCACATGGCAGCAGGAAGGAGAAGAATGAGAGCCCAGCAAAGGGGAGAAGACCCTTATAAAACCACCAGATCTTGTGAGAACTAACTCACTATCATGAGAACAGGATGGGGGAAACTGGCCCCCATGATTCAATTATCTCCACCTGGTCCCTCCCACGACATAAGGGGATTATGGGAACTACAATTCAAGATGAGATTTGGGTGGGGACACAACCAAACCATATTAGACGTCTTTGCTTTGTCCCAACTCACAGCTTTAGGACTGAATTGTTCAAGGGGGGAAGGGAAGAGATTTAGCTTTTCTTTTATTTATCTCTTGGCCAGGCCTTTCTTTTCATTTGTGTGCTGCCTGAACATTTCACCTGTTATTTGGAGTCCATGTTATCTAGATTTATACTAGAAGAAGATGCTTCCCCAAATTTATTTCTATTACTTCTAGTTCCTAAACCATGTTTTCTTCAAGGGCATTTTTCTCTGTAATTCAAATTTCATGTTCTAATTTTTAATGTTATAAAATCTTTCACAGGTCTCCTTAAGGTGTTTTTCCTTTTTCTTATTGATCCTCATATGAAAAGAAAGTTCCTTAGGGCTGTTTGCCTGGAGAAAGGCAAAAATTCTTTCCCCAACCCCACTTTCAGTGTCCACTTTTTGCAAGTCTAGCTCCTTTTTTTCTTTAGTTCTTATCTTGAATATCCACTCTTAGGTTTTCCACAATTACTTTGCATGGAATTCTCCAAGTTTTTGTTTACTATCTTATCCTTTTATGTCTTTTGTAGCATTGGTTATGATTCACAAAAATTTTGTCCTCTTAGTTGCTCATTATCTCTCTCTCCTTGGAGCAGGAAAGCTGTCTGGGGAGCAGACATTTCACAGAGCAGGAAGCATGAACACTTAGTAACACAGGAAAGCATGCTCTGCCTCATCACAAGCACACAAGTGAAATGACATTTCATGCATCTACCAGATTGGTAGAAATGTAAAGTCTGCTAAAACCCCGTGTTTTCAAGGATGTAGAGCAATAGGAACTCTATTTCAGTTGCTGGGAAGAGTGTAAATGGTTATAACTGCTTCTAAGATAAATTGGGCATTACCTAGTGAAACTAAATACGTGGATATTTACAATCTCACAACTCCACACAGACATGTACTGAAGAGAAACCCTTGTAGGTGTTCACAATAAGGAATAAGCAACAATGTTCATATTGCTTGAAATGAAACAACTTAAGTGTTAACAGTAGACTAAATACATGGTTATATTTTCATGCAATGAAATCATACAGCATTGAAAAATGAGTTAAGTACAGTTACATGCACCAACATGAATTTCAAAAACTCAATTTTGAGTGAGAAAAGCAGGTTGCAGAAGAACATTTATAGAATGATTGTCTTTACATAACAGAAATAACATGCAAAATTAAAGAATATATTTTTGGAGACACAGATATGGAGTAAAATAAAAAGAAAAGCAATGAATGATTAACCAAAAGTACAGGATCACGGTTAACTCTCAGGGTAGGGTAGGGGAATGTGTTGAGGAAGGAACAGAGCTTGAAAGGCTTAGGTGTTCTTTGTCTTAGGCTCAATGATGGTGTTCATTTTATTATTTTTTAAACTGCACATACGTGTTACATATACTTTTTATATGTAGGATAAATTCCACAACTTACCAAAAGTTCTATGAGGCATGGAATGTGCCTCTCTTGCTCACTCATCCCCTAGTCCAGTGCCTCTCCCACTTGAACCTGCTGATCTGGGCACAGCAGTTCCTCCTCTCTTGCCCCAGACCCTTGCCTGCTCCTGTGGTCAATGAAGCCTTGGGCTATGGTCTAAGCTGGGAACGAATGGCTGTTTTAATCCATTCAGGCTGCTATAACAAATTACCATAGACTGGGTGACTTCTAAACAACAGAAATTTAGTCATCACAGTTCTAGGGGCTGGGAAGTCCAAGTTGAAGGGACTGGCAATTTTGATGTCTGGTAAGGGCCTGCTTACTGGTTCATGGACAGCTGTCTTTATGCTGTGTCCTCATGTGGTGAAAGCGGCAAATGAGTTTCCTGTGTTTCTTTTCTTTTCTTTATTTTCATTTTATTTTTTTGAGATGGAGTTTTGTTCTTGTTGCCCAGGCTGGAGTGCAATGGCATGCTCTTGGCTCACTGCAGCCTCTGCCTCCTGGGTTCAAGCGATTCTTCTGCCTCAGCCTCTTGAGTAGCTAGGATTACAGGCATGTGCCACCACACCTGTCTAATTTTGTATGTTTAGTAGAGATGGGGTTTCTCCATGTTGGTCAGGCTGGTCTTGAACTCCTCACCTCAGGTGATCCACCCGCCTGGGCCTCTGTGTTTCCTAGCTCTTTCCACTGAGAAGGCTTCAGAGCAGTGATTCTGTAGGTCTCTGATAAAGGCACTAATCCCATTCATGAGGGCTCTGTTGTCTGACCTAATCGCCTCCCAAAGGCCCCACCTCCTAATACCATCACCTTGGGGGTTAGGATTTCAGCATATGAATTCTGGGAGGACCTAAGCATTTACACCATAGCAAGGGCCTTATGTCTCATCTAAGAGACAGAAGGAGCACTATGCCCTTAGGCAAGCACTCTCACTGAAAGACCTTACTGAGAAGAACTTGGAAATAAGGATGGCCTGGGGCTGTGCTGAGCCTCCTTTACCTGGTTCTGGTACAGGTGAGGGCTCAGGAATAGGAACAAGAGACCTGGCCTAGCATCAAGGTAACTTCACACCAAGACTGTCAATATCTAAATATAATACAAATAATCATGACAATGATGACTATTAGAACTATAATTTACTGATCATCTTTTGTACTCTGTGCCTAGAGCTAAGGATTTCCAACCATTGTTTCATTTAACTCTAAGAAGTTAAGTACTTATATTATTCCTATTTTGTGCATAATAACACTGAGGCTCAGAAAGGTGAAACAACAGACAAGGTTACATAGCTTGTATGTGTCACAGCCAAGGTTTGAACCTGTCTGTGACTCTGAAGTCCATACTCTATCACTCTATAGGAAAGTCACAAGTCAAAATGACAGAGTCTTAAAGCCTGGATCTCATTAGTGGAGCAACAAGTGTGCCCAACAAGAGGGGCATGGGAACTGAGCAGATGGAGGGGGCAGAGTCTCATTCCCACATTGCACTCACCCTGGATGATAGCTCCTGGGAATGGCAATCACAGCTACTTAGGCTCTTTACATCCTTGTTTCTCTCTGTCAGTTTCTGTTTCTTTCACTGCCTCTTTCACAGTCTTAGTGTGTTTCTGCTAGTGCATGCATGATGTAGCAACACTGTATAGTCACACCAGAGCAGATACTGTAGCAGATACTGCAGGGGCTGGGTTCTGTTTCCAGTTCTATCTACATGGTTTTGGGCAAGTACTTGAGCCTTCCTTTGCCCCATTTCTTCATTTGTAAAATGGGGGTTAGGATATTTGCCTTACTACCTCACAGAATTCTTACAGGTCACAAACTCCAAACCTGTAATTCTACAGGTGAAGAAACTGAGGTCTCAAGTGGGGAAGGGACCTGTGCAAGGTTTCACACAGCTGGCCCCAGGTGGAGCTGGGAATAAAATCCAGCTTTCCTGATTTCTGGTTAAAATATCTGCAGTGATCTGTAAATTGCAAATATGTGCATCATTCCATAGAAGGGCACAAGTCCACAGAGAACATTCTATAAGTTTCTCTAGGCAATTCCACTATAATAAAAATGAGGAAATATCCAGATCCCTAACTTGGGACTCGTAGAAGAAAACAGGCTGCCAATAAAGACATATCTACCCTGAATTGTTCATACTCTTCCTACTCGAAATCACAATGCCTTCATTTGTGCACAAAAACACAGTGCTCCTTGAGAGGTCAGCAGAGGCCCTAGATCCCTTTGGAGAGGGAGATCGTGCTAGAAAATGCTAAGGGACAAGCTGGGGCACAGGTATAGGGACGACTCAGCCAGTGAGTTGATGTGAATGAGTGGACGTGGCACCAAGGATTGGGCTTCTGTGCCTCTCTGCCCTGGCAGTGTGGAATAGGAGGAAAACTTGCATTTACAGAACCCTGCGCTGAGAGCTCTCACATAGGCTAATACATTTAATTCTCATAACTCTGAAGACACTGAGGCTCCAAGAGGTTATTCAACTCACTCAAGGTCACTTGATCTGCAAATGGTGGAGCTGGGAGTCAAGCTCAGCCTTGACTTGAAAGCCTGGCCCTTCCCACCAGGCCAGGTTTCCATACTGACCGGAGAAAGCTATGGCGAAGACTCCCCCTGTGGCTGCATCGCGGTGGAACTTGAGCAGGACCTGGTTGGAAGAGCTGTGCACTGTTTTCTTGGCCATGCTCCGGGTGAAGACGCCGAGCCGTGGTGCTGTTTGCTGTGGCCCATCCCTGTACATAGGAAATAAGGTCCTGGCATATCACTAGTCATCACAGCTGCCTGTTCCACTTGGTGCCATCGGTGGCCTTAGGACAGACCTGGAGTGGGAAGCTATGATTCTTTTTGTACCAAACTTTCCCACACCATGCCCTAGACACCTCTCCCAACCATTCCCAACTTGGTCTCCCAACATAGTTGATAGAATCGGTGAAGCTCACACTGATTCCTCATTCACCTGATTCTTCACTAGCCCAGTGGGCTCCTGGGGGAAATTCAGGCTCCATGGAGCAAGGGTGTGGGTCTTACCACAGGTCCTCTCAGTCTGGGGCAGCACTAGGACAGGGCTCAGGAGCTGGTGTAGGAACCTGCTGCTATGCACACCGGCTCCATTTCCTTGTCTTCCAAGCAAAGAGGATACCCACAATGCCTTCTGGGGCAAAGGATTTCTTCCCTGAAACCTTATCTAACCCCTCCTATCTGTCCCTAGCCATTGCTTGGAAATCATGCTGGAACCTAACCCGGGGCAGTCTGGTTACAGTTATCCAAGCCCTGGGAATTTTGGAAGAGAATTCCCCTAACCCCTGATGATTCCCAGAATGGCAGTAACCACCAAACGAAGGAATTTTAAAATTATGTGCTCTTCCAAAGATCCAGTGGTTTGGGAAGAAACTGTCCAGGAAACTGCACATATCAAATGCTAATTTGTATTCCCAATTTAAAATTAACTCTTTTTATATATAACTACATAACTCAGAGCTGAGCTGTCCAATTCAGCCACTGCCAGCCACACATGGCTATTTACATTTAAATTATCAAGATTAAATAACATTTAAAAATCAGATCCTCCGTCATATCCAAATGCTCTGTAGCCAGTGACTACCATATTGGCCAGCATACACATAGAACATTTCCATCACTGCAGAAAGTTCTGCTGAAAAGTGCTGGCTCAGCACCAGATGACCAATGGAACATCACAAAATTTCACTTCAAATCTCTTCAATTAGTCTGGGTGGCTTAGCCCAGGTACATGTAGAATGTTGGTTTGAACTCTGGAAATACTAAGAAAAGTCTATGTACCCACGCCTACTCCCGTTAACACACCTGTTGGTACTTTCCCTGGCCCTGGCGGGGCTGCAGGCTGGGAGCCACTGCCCTCCCATTCCTCTCCCTTCAAGGAGCCATAATGGCCCATTGCAGCTGAGCCCCATTCCACTATGTTTATTTGAAACCCAGGAGGCTGACAGCCTTTAAAACCACTCAGTTCTTGGTTTTTCTAAACCAATAGGTAACTGACTGGTAACCCAGTGTAGAACCCCACTAATACTCTTATCTAATTGGCTGTTGACATGGCACCTGGCCTACCAGATGGTGATGAAATCTCCAGAGGGCTCTGTCTGCAGCAGGCTGAGGTTCAGGCGGACGCCATGGCCAATGGGCACGGTGATCAGCCAGACACAGTCCTGGGAGCTGGAGTACGGGCTAGGGAACCCCGGGGAGTACACAGTGCCGTTGGAAGAAGTGATATTCCCGCCACAAGGGACTGCCAAGAAGGGAACACAAACGTAAGTGCAGGGCCTCGGTACCCACCTAAGAATTCAGATGGCTTCATGAGGAACTCCCAGCTCCTAGAACTAATCATCCTGTCAGGGAGGTCAGGTGGGATGTGGGAGGGGAGGCCAAGCTGACGATGGCCACACCTGTTTCTACCCACCAGTCCCCACACAGAACACCCTGGCTAGCTCTCAACTGTCACTGCAGGCCCCTCTGTGTGTCTGCCTCAGCCTCCCTCTTTCTCTTTCTTATGAAGATAACTGCCAAGAAGAAAGGATGCACTGAAGCTGTCCCCTTTCCCTTCCCAGCAATGGGAGGAAGCAGATGTTAGGGTCAGAGCTGCAGCGCTTTTGCTGGGAAGAGCTAAGAAATTGGGAAAATCTTTCTTTCTTTGATCTGCTCTTTCTAGAATGGTACTAGTGGTCTAGACTTTGAGTTGAGGGTTCCTGGGGTGAGGCTAAGGTTGGGTTCAAATCATAGCCGAACCATTTATTGAGCAGATACTCTTAGATAAGTAATTCAGCCTCTCTGAGTCTCCATTTCCTCGCCTGTAAAATGGGACTAAGAATACCTCCCCCATAGGATTGTGGTGGTGATGAGGTGAAACAATGCAGGCAAAATGTTCAGCCCAGGCGCCGGAAGAGGAGGCATTTGCTATGTAGATAAGATCCTCTCTCCTTATCTTCCTGTTCCCCAAAAGCAACACCCAATTTTGGTCTCACTGATTTAGGCCTCAGGCAGGGGGATGAAGAGACTTTGACATCTTCATGGTATTCAGAGTCAGTCACCAGGGAGGAAAACAGACAGGGATGGTGGACAAAAATCCCCAAACACCATGGTCCAGAATAATGAGTGTTGTAGCTGACATGGGGCATCGAGCAGACATCTGGACGGGGCAGACCAGACTGAGAGAGAATCCCAATAGACTCCAAGCAGAGGCCAGGGGTCCTGTGAATGCACATACATCCCAAAAGTGGTGCACAGGTACACGCCATCCCTGCTACATAAGCTGAATATCTCCTGGGTGCCAGGCACTGCCTGGGAGACAGTGGGGAGCAAGGTACTCCAGTTCTGTCCCAGGCACGCACACTACTGGGACATAGCCAAACACACCAGCATCTGTAGCACAGGCTGGACCATGTCATCATTGTGAATGCCACAGGGGTGTTTGGGGGAGCCCTGCATCTGGTTTTGTAAGAAAGGATTTGTTTTTGTTTTTGTTTTTGAGATGGAGTCTCGGTCTGTCACCCAAGCTGGGGTGCGGTGGCGCGATCTCGGCTCACTGCAAGCTCCGCCTCCCAGGTTCATGCCATTCTACTGCCTCAGCCTCCCGAGTAGCTGGAACTACAGGTGCCCGCCACCACGCCTGGCTAATTTTTTGTATTTTTAGCAGAGACGGGGTTTCACCGTGTTAGCCAGGATAGTCTTGATCTCCTGACCTCGTGATCCACCCGCCTCAGCCTCCCAAAGTGCTGGGATTACATGTGTGAGCCACTGCGCCTGGCCTTGGATTCTTGGTATAATTCACATTTATACTCAGACCTAAGGGATGACTAGGGCTAAGTAGGCAAGGTAAGAGAGAGGAATGTTGTATGGGAAAGGAACAACATATGCTAAGACCCAGAGGCAAGAAAACATGGCACACTGGAACACAAAGTATTTCAGCTTAGCTGGAACATAAAATCTGTAAGAGTGGAGAATATGGGAGGTCAGCAGGGACTAGGCCCTAACCTAAGGGTCATGTGTGCTATATTAAGCGGCTTAAAATTTGCCCTAAGGGACATGGGAGAAAGCAAGAGAGTATGGTGTCAGAGAAGCCAAGGGAAGAAGGTTTCTGAGGAAGAAGAGGGGCTTCTGGCTCAAGCCAGCAGACTGAGAAAGCGCTGCTCTTTTCTCTCTCCCGTGATGCCATAAAAAGACAAACAAGGCATGAGAAGGGAAGAAAGCCCACGATGAGGCTTGTTGCACAGCACGTGATGGGCTAACAATTGTGGAATGACCCACTGGTTACGCACAGCAGAGCTCTGAAAATCTGAAAAATGAACTGAGGCTATAATAGTTTTAGAAATCACGGTTTTACATTCCAACACCAGAACGGCTCAGTTTTGCAAACAAGGTCCCTCTTTCCATTGAGAGTTAAACTGAGAGTTTGAGTCTGAGAGTGAGCCATCTGTGAAATCCTTCAGCTCTTGTGAAATATAGATGAGAAGTTCCATTTCACTGAGGAAGAACCTGAAGCTTAGAGAGGCAAAGGGGTTTGAGTTGGAGCCTGGGGTAATCTGATCCCAGACCTGGGGCACTTTTTCCTGGGTTATTGCCCTTGCTAAGGCTTCCTTTTTCAAGACAAATTCCTGCCTCTCCTCCAGGAAAATGCTGGGCTGCCAGAATGAAGAGGGAAGGCAAATGGAACTGAAGTGTGCAGATGAGGCTGGAGGCAGCACAAGCTCTTGGTCACCTTCCATCCCGGTTCTGGGTAAGGAAGAAGACCCAAGGAAGTGCCACCTCCAGCTCCCTGATAGATCAACTCAGGTCTCTCCAGTCCCGTGTAGGAGGAGAGTATAATGGAGCAGGGAGGGGGAAGATGAAGAGGGGTGCAAGAGAGTTCTTAGAAAGAGGCTTCATCCTCTTCTCCCTTTGGGCATGTGCCTGGATTAACTCTACCTCTCCAGCCCTCAGCATACATTGGGCTCCCACTCCCTCACGTGGAACCTTCCCTTCCAATGGGGGTCCTCCAGCCTGTCAGGGTGGATCTTCCCCAGGGCTGGGTATGTCTTCCTCTTGGCTGTGGCCTACATCTCCTCCAGGTCCTCCCTAGTGCTGGCCCGGAGCCCTGTCACCAGGACCCTCTCCGTGGAGACGCTGGACCACACCATGTGAAAACAGGATGGACCATGGTTTGCCTGGACCTCCAGCCCTGGAGATCCCATGGAGCAGGCAGGTGGAACAGGGGATTGCTCTGGACCAGTCTCTACGAGCACCTGAGGAAGAACTGCTGGGGATGAGGGAGGGACATACCTTCACACTTGGGCAGGGGGTGGTCCCAGTTCCGGTTGGTGCCATGTTGACATGTGAGGACAGGATGTCCAGTCAATTGATACCCTGGGAGGCACTCAAAGGTCACTGATTGTCCCACGTTGTAGCCAGCTCCCCTCACAATGCCATTGGCAAAGGGCTCTGGGTCTGGGCACTCTTGAAGTTCATAGGCTGGAAAAGATTGGAAGAAAAAGTTGCTTTATTCTCTCCGACCAGAAAATAGGAGTGGCAGAGAGCATAGTGGTAAAGCCTCACGACTTGGACTCAGATGGACCTTTGTCATGTACGAGTCTTTGGCTTTGGGTAAGTAATTTAACTTCTGTACGCTTCAGTTTTCCTGTGTATAGAATGATTATTTTGAGGACTACGTAGGATAACACATACATAGCTCTTTCCACAGTACTGGCACATGGTGAAAGCTCAGTAAATAGTATCTATTATTAATAATTCCATAGGAAAAGAAGACTCAAGGAAGACATTGCTCAACTGAACCTCTATTCACTGAGCGCCACTGGGGGCCAGGCGCTGGCCTAACTCCTTTCATGTTGCTTATCTCATTGAACCTTCACAACCAGGATCAAGTTCCCAGACATAGGAAGCGGCGACGGGAGGAGTTGAGTTGGTTCTTTCCAACTCCGAGAGATCAAAACCTCTCAGGAAGGAAGAAATCTGGTGGGAGTAAGTCAAATCTGTGGCAAGGTGAGAAGCTTTTCAGAGGGAGTAGCTGGGCTATGGGACGTGTGACTATCATAAAGCAAGTCCCTTCAAAGAGCAGGGAAGCTGCTTCCATGAGAGTGGGTGGCATGATTCTATAGGAGATTCCTCTGGGGAAGCAGCTGAGGTCAGTCCATCGGGGAGAGGCCAGTGAGAGATTCCTGAGCAAGGCCTTTGATGAATTGGGTCCACAGGACACAGAACAGCCTTTGTGGCAGTAATTGGGCCCACTCCACTCAGGAAATTGGCAGTGGGAGGGGAAAGAATGTTCCTACAGTGGGAATCCTCAGTGGAAGTAGTTGGGACCGGCTGGATGCTCCTTGGAAATAGATGTGTTTCTTATACATAATAACAATGTCAATAACGCGGATCTCGAAGCTAACATTTCCTAAGCACTCACGTGATAATGGTGGCTGTGTTTCCATTCAGTACCTCACAGGGAAGTCTCGGGGGAGGAATTGGGCAGGTTTCCCTGGGAAATCATCGAGGTAATTGGGTGTGCCAAAAACTGCGCAGCCACAGGGGTGGGGCGGCTGCTCAGCCCCTGTCCTGGCCCTGTGGCACCGGGGTTTGGACCTTTTGGCAATGAAAGTCTTAGCGAAAGCAGGGAGCCTTTTGCCCAGGAGGCAACCCAATGGGATGGGTTGGGTCTTTGCAGAAAGGCTCAGGGTAACCATGTGGACCTAGAGATGGGGACGGAATGAAGGGAGTGGCTGTGTGTGAGAAGCCAGGAGCAGCCTTGATGAGAGCAGCTGGGCCTCTCCTACAGGAATCATCTCCAGTGGAAGGATCTAGGCTCTTCAAAAAGACAGAAACTTCAGTGAGAGTACCTTGACACTGAGAGAAACCTCAGAGCCTGTTCCCCTGGAAGAAGCTTTAAAGGGAGAGGTTGGCCATATAAGGCAGAAATAAACCCTAAGAGGAGGAAGCATGAACTTCCCCAAAGAAGGACTCCTCACGGGGGCAGGTGGGTTTGTTCTAAAGGGACACAAGTGGTGACAGTGGGAACACACTTCCAAATAGTGCCATAATCAGGTAGACACCATTTCAACCAAAATGACATTATTTTAAGACATTAATAATGATGATGCCTAGCATTTGGGGACAGTTGTACGTCTTAGCTATTTCCCCAAGTTCTTTATAAACAGAACCCTCCTGAGAAATTGTCATGGAACACATTAAGCATGTAGGACCAGGAGGCCTGGCTAGGAGTTCTTTATGCTGCCACTAAGAACTTAATGGGAATCTTTACTCGAAGAAGAGAAAAGAAGACCCTAGCATGGGAAGTGCAGAGTGTCAATTGGAGGAATTTTGAGAGAGAGTAAAGAGTTGGACTTCTAAGGAAAGTTGAGGGGCCATAGAGAGCTAGGTCTGTCTGCCAGAAACAGCCTCAGTGAGGATAATGACTCCTTTATGAAGCTGGGTCTTTCCCCAGAGAAAAAATCTGGGGAGAGTGGTCAGAGCTTGCTTACAAGGTGCAGCTCCATATGGCAGAGGAAGGTGTAAACGGAGAGTGTGGGCTTATGGTCAGGGAGAATTATTTGGGCCTATCACAAACGATGAGGTCTCTGTGGGAGTACTTAGGCCTCTGGCCCTAGAGACAACCTAGCCCGAGAGGTTGGGATCACCCCAAATGAGAAGCCTTAATGGGGGTGTAGCCCAAGTCTGAGGGGGGCAGGTGCCCCGGCGCCATGTGTGGCTCCACAGGAGTCTTTGGGACTGTGGCAGACAGGTGAACGCTGAGGGAGTAGCTGGGCCTGGGACTGAAGGCGAACATCCAGGCGAGTCCTGAAGGTCACACGCTTGTGGGAGGAGGGGGCCCATTACAGGGTGGAAGCCCCGTTGGACGTTGCTGTGCCTCTCACACGTTGGGCCAACTCCTGGTGGAGGAGCTGGGTGTCTGAAGGCAACTCGCTGCCCCCTGGCCTCCCTACACAGGCAAAGTCTTCAGAGGAGGACTGGGCCTCTGGAGGCTGCAAACCTCAGCAGCAGAGACAGGCCCATCCCAGGGAGGGACGCTAGCCCCGAATGTTGGCTTGTCGTCCAGGAAACCTCAGGGGGACAGAGGGGCCCCTTGTGCAGGGTGGCCATTGTGGGAGCATTTCCCAAGGTAGGGGCTGGGGAAGCAGGGGCGAGTGAGCCCAAGGCCAGGGCTCTGTGGGGGTAGTTAGGCCTCTTCTGTTGGGGGAGTCAATGGAGAATCTGAAGTGGCCACACAGGGACAATTTTTACAAGGACAAGTGGGCTCATCACACGTGGAGCACAGTGAGTGGCCGGTCCCATCACAGGGATTCAGTGGCACGACTGTGCCTGTTGTCTAGGGTTAAGGCACAGTGCACGGGGTGGGCCCAAGGCAGCTGTCCCTGGCACAATGGTGGCACCACCATTCCTTATATTTATCAGACAGGGAAGGTCTCAGGGAGAGAGCACTTGGGCCTGGCAGGTGCTCAAGTGCTGAGCTGAAATGTGTCTCCTGAAACTCATATGCTCATGACTTCACTCCTTGTGAATATGACCTTACGGGAAATAGATAGGATCTTTACCAAACTTATGGATATTAAAATGAGGTCACTAGGGTGGGCTCTGATCCAATATGACTGGTATCTTTATAGAAGGTGGGAATTTGGAGACAGAGGCACATGAAGAGCATCAAGTGAAGATGAAGCCAGAGGTCGGGGTGATACTTCTAAGAGCTGAGAATCCAAGATTGTCACGAACTACCAGAAGCCAAGGGAGGGGCCTGGACAGAGTCTCCCTCATGGGCCTCAGAAGGAACCAACTCTGCTGACACCTTGGTCTTGAACATCCAGGCCCAGAGCCACTGGACAGTAAGTTTCTGTGGTTTAAGCCACCCAGTTTGTGGTACTTTCTTATAGTTGCCCTAACAAACTAAGACACAGGGAACGCCTTGGGGGAAGGCACTGCATCTGACTCTGAGAGGACATATTTGGGACCAAGTCCCTCCTGTGACATCACAGCCATCCGAAGCATCATGACCTGTTTGACAGGTACACACCTCCCAGATAATAGGCACAGACATCCTCGGGCAAGCCTGGCCTCTGTGATGAGCCTGCACACACCTTCCCTGGGTGTGGCAGCTGTACTAACACCAGTGAAGTGGCTCTGTCTGGGTGTAAGGCCCAGCTTCTCCTGAGGCTCCCTCTAGGTGACAAGCCCAGCCACACTCACCAAAGTTTACCCTGAGACGGACCCCGGAACCCTGAAGTCTCCTGTAGAACAGATTCAGTTGCACCCACCTCGTGGGATGCCCTTTAAGGCTTTCCCTAAATGACAAGCCCAGTCCCCGCTCAGTATTCTTCTCTGGCAAGGGAGGAGCTCCATCCACACCACATTATTTCCAGAATAAAGAAGTCAAGTCTCAGAAAGCTGCATATAGGATGGTACTCTTTATATAGAAAACATGCTCAAAAAATTTTATAAGATGTTACATAGTTTTCACAGGTACATGTAGCATACATGTATCCAGGCCTGGAAAGGTCACACCTAAACAACAGCTGTTTCTGGAGAATAATCCTGGGTTTGGTGGCTGTAGACAAAGAGAGCTTTGGCCTAACTTGTAAAGTTTTAATTTCTTTCTTGTATTTTTCTTTTTTAAAACAAGATAAATATGTTTGTAAATTGTTTAATTAAAAATTAACTTTAAAAAACAAAATTGCAAAACTATAGTACGCTCCAATTTTGGCTAAAAATATAGCTACAGCAATACATATACTGAAAAAAGGGGGGAATATATATTGAATTGTTGAAAGTGTATATCTCTGCATAGGGTAATGATGGGGTGGGATTATGGGAGGATTTTGACTTTCTGTGATGGGTATTAGGGCCTGAATATTTCTGTCCCCTCAAATTCCTATGTTGAAACCTAATCCCCCATGTGAGGGTATTTGGAGGCAGGGCCTTTGGTGGCCTACCCTCATAAATGGGATTAGTTCCTTTATAAAAGAGGCCTGAGAGAGTTCTTTTGCCCCTTCCACCATGTGAGGATGCAGTGAGAAGATACTGTCTATGAACTAGAAAGTGGGTCTTCGCCAGACGTGGAATCTGTTGGCACTGTGATCTTGGACTTCCCAGCCCTCAGAACTGTGATAAATAAATTTCTGTTGTTTATAAGCCATTTGGCTTATGGTATTTTGTTACAGCAGCCTGAGCTAACACAATGTGCTCACAAAATTATCTACAGTGCTTACATTTTTTTTTTTTTTTTTTTTTTTACAAACATGAATTAGCATTGGAAAAAAATCTAAAAATATTTTTAAAAATTCAGTGGAAGAATCTGAGAAAGGTGTTAGAACAAATGCTTCAGTCAGTCACAATAAGGGAAGCATCCAAGTGGGATGTTGGGCTTACTCAGGACCACCAGGTACAGTTGCACAGGTTGGGCACAATCTCCACATCCACAGGTGATGGATGGTCCACAACACAGGGGAACCTGAGTGTAGATGGGGCTCTTTCCAGGGAATGTCCCGGAAGGAGTGAGGCCTGTCACAGGATCCCACCTCAGGGAGGTAGAGCTGTGGTGAGTGTGGTTGGGCCTCACAGGAAAACCTGCTCCTTGTGCAAGGCTTAGAGGTGCCCTTGGGACTGTTACTAGAATCCTCCATCCTGTCATAGGAAGAGCTTTGCTGAGAGTAATTGGGCTTGATGTGCAGGGAAGGACCCTGGGGAAGTAATTCAGTTCACCAAGCCCGAGGGGAAGTGACTGGCTGGACACTTGGGGATACCTGAGAAGGCACAGATGGGACACTTGCCCAGGGATAACTACAGATTGGGAGCCTCAGAGGGTGCTGCTGGGCCTGCCACTCTTGAAAAGGCTGTGGGAGAACTTAAGCTGCCAAATGGGGTTAGATGGCCGTGGGGGCCGGAGTGATCTGCCACCAAAAGGAAGCTTCCCTGGCTGGACCTGCCACTGCAACCCACCCCTTCCGGTGTTCTGTCTTCCCCATGGAAGGCTGGGAAGGTGGGTGGTTGGGGTAAGAGATGGGGATAGACAGAGAAGCAAAGGCGGTGCTCCTTGTCCTTACCCTGATACTCCAGCTTGAATCCTGGCCGGTTCTGGGAGTGGTCGCTGTGGAAATACACGGTGGTCTCGTGGGACGTGGAGAGGAGGGAGCTCGGAAGCTCGTTTCCGCTGAATCTTCCCATCATGCGGCTAGTCTCATAGGGGCCATTCCGGATTTCGATGTAGTCGTGGTTGGGCTCGGTGGAGAAGTTCAGGAACTGGATGTGAGCTCCTGGGAGCAAGACAGAGGCAGACAGTGCCCAAAGCAACACAGTCCTGCCTCAAGTGTGCTGCCTCCTGGAAGCAGCTCCTGCCAGAGCCATGAGTCCCTACTATTGATTTCCCACCCAGCCTAGGCTCCTAGAACAGGCTTTGGGAATTGCCAGTCCAGTCAAGCCTCTTGTCTTTGACAGGGCTGAACTTAAGAGTGTATTATTCATTCAAAAATAAAGGCATCAGTCATTTCAGAGCTCCACTGGAGTTCATTTTATTTTGTTGAAAACAAAGTTCAGGGTCAACACTTGTTTTAATTTATGATTCATATGTCCAATATCAGCATAAAGATAGTTTTGCTAGAATAAACTTTCCATTTAAAAATAACACCCCCCATATTTAATCAAAAGACATGACCTTCAATACTGCTGTTTTCTAGAACCCTTATGATAATTCAGAAACATAGGGCTTAGAAGTATACTTTGTCCCCTCTGTTCCATAAAGAAGCCAAACAAAGTTTACACTTTGGGATCTTAGTGAGTTAATCAAGACCTTCTAGCAACCTGACAGGTTAAATAAATCTAATTAAGTTCTTAATGTACATATTAATATACTGTGTCAAGAACAAAGGTGGGAACATTAATGTTTGTTTGCTGATAAGATTTTTCAAAATTAGATCACTATGGAAAATGTTATTGAAGAAATATATTTACTGAGCATAGGAAAAAGCCCATACTGCATTGCTAATTGTAAAAATTAGAGGACAAAATAGTATGCTGTATACAATTCTAATTTTTGTATTATAAAACATGGAATAATATTAATTCACTTGCTAAGAATATTTGCTGGGCATTTGCTGTACATCAGGGCTGTGCTAGGCATTGTACAGAATGAGCAAGATCAAGCAGGTCCTTGTCTTCATGAGACTTACATGCTAACGGTGGGGGACTAAGTCATTAGTGATTATCACTGCATGATGAGATTATAGATGGATTTTCATTTTGAAAATTGGCTTATCTGTACTATCTAATGAGCTCTGAATAAGCACATGAGTGTAATTTTTTTTTTGTATCTGATCATTTAAAGAACAAAATAAAGACTTGACACTTAATGTTGAAGACCTTTCATCTCCTGCCCTGTTCCATTCCCCTCCTGCCCTCCACAGAAGCAATCACATGAATTTGGAAGATATCCTTCCAGTTCATGGTTTTGAATTCTTAAATATGTATCTGGGTTTATGTGTTTTCAACATTTACATAAATATTATACTGTGCATACTTTTTACATAATATTGTGTTTTTCAAGGTCTATCCATGTTAATATACAAAAAGATAGTTCATTTTAACTGCATGTTAATTCCATTCTATGAATTATCCAGCCACACAGTTCACTCCCCAATTCATGAACATGCAGATTGTTCCCAAGTTGCAGATAATTTTGCGATTTTTTTTTTTTTTTTTTTTGAGACAGCGTCTTGCTCTGTTGCCCAGGCTGGAGTGCAGTGGCGCCATCTCGGCTCACTACAAGCTCCGCCTCCCAGGTTCATGCCATTCTCCTGCCTCAGCCTCCCGAGTAGCTGGGACTACAGGCGTCTGCCACCAAGCGCAGCTAATTTTTAGTAGAGACGGGGTTTCACCGTGTTAGCCTGTGATGAGCATCTTTGTACACATTATCTAAGGAGCCTCTACTTTTCATTCCACCGCCCAGGTATCGTCCCCTTATACAGGAGCACTGAGGGCTGCATGCTCACCAAAGGGGCTCTTTAAGGATGGTGGAATTTCTGACTTGAGCTCCGCGGAAAGAACTGGACTGTGACCGCCATCTAGTGGAGCAGCATGTAGCTGCAGCAGCTCTCTACAAGCTGAGACCAGGTGCCAAGTTAGGGACCGCGGCAGAATCCAACATCAACTTGAAAGCAAGGGATCCGGGGCCTCTGCGACTGGACCCAGCAGTAGCTTCTTCCCTGAAGTCTGAATTAGCACCCAGAACTTAGAGATGAAAATGGTGGCTGAACATAAGGACTTACAAGGAAAGCCACCTCATTCACACTTCTGTTTGCCTTTGGATGTTGCCCTCCCCACCTTCTATCATCTTGGTTCTGTCCCGAGACTGGATGCAGAGGTATAGGGTCTCCCAGATCCTCTTAATGTCTCAAAGTCTGGAGTCTCCTAAGGCTGCCGAGGGTGTCATCGCTTCACACCCAGTTTCCTTCAGAAGATGGTACTGGACAGAAAATAACATCTTTCAGAGGGCCACCAAGCTCTCTCCTCCCATCCAACCGGATTTAGAGAAGGCCAGTTAGACTGCTTTTTCCCAAAAGCCCCTTCTCTAATATCTAATCACACTCCAGGCTGAATAATGAAGGGTAAAATGGGAGATCTTCATTTCTGGGGCTCACAGACTGGCATTTAGGGCTGTGCGGGCATAATCCCCTTGGGACATTTCATTCCTAGAAGCAGTGCAATGGCTGGGGCAAGATGACCAGCAATTAAATTTTGTACCCACACTGATGTCCTCCACACCCTGACAACCTCCCATTGCCTGGCATACTCGAGCTCCAAAAACAAAACAAAAACCAAAAATAACACCCCCCCCCCAAAAAAAACAACCTTCCCAATCTCTAGGCCATCTGGAATGTGCATACGAAGAAGAATGCAAACTCGATTTCACATTGATTTGGCTCAATTTAATTAGGATGATAAATCAGACATTGGAGTTAAAAGTACAACTTGGGGTCCAATCTCTGTACGACAGATTCCCCCCCTTTTTAAAAAACATCCCTGAGTAATTAATTTTTAATTTTTAATATTAAGTGATACAGTGTTAGGTATAACCCAAGTACTTTCTCATTCCACATTCCTGGATTTTAGTTTATGGCTCAAATAATAATAATGGCAACCCCTAAGATTTTTCTCCCCCTGTATGTTAATCTCTGCCATTCTTAATTGGTCTTCACAATTGCACAAGAGGTCAATAGATGAGAAAACAGAGAGGCAGAGTGCTAAACAGGCTTGGCCCAAGGTTGTGCTAAGAGATTTTGGCAGACAGTGGTTTTAAGCTCAGGGGTCTGGGCATGAAGCCTGTCTCCTCTGGGGGTTGGAGACTTACCAAAGCCCACGGGCAGTGCTATTTTCCAGGAGCAGTCCATGTTACTGGGGTAGTTGCCTGGGAAGCCGGGGCTCAGGATCACCCCTTCCATCTCCTCCACTGTTCCCCCACACTGTGCTGTGACAATGAGATGAGACAGAGGGTCAGGACAACATCAAGGGGTGTACAGCGCCCTGCCAATGTTTGGAAGCTCCCTTCAAGCAGCAGTTTTTAAGCTTTCGTGAGTCATAAAGCCCCTTGAGAATCCAAAGGAATCTTCTTAAGAGACTATGCCCATGGGCAACATTCAGTATGTACATTCACGAAGGGAAGTGCATTCTAGGACAGCCTAAAAGTCCACAAGCCCAAGTTATGGACCCTTGACCTTGAACATGCCCTTCACAGGTCAGTTCCCTGGTGAGGATGTGCAGGAAAAGTGAGGAAGTTCTGTGCCAAAAGAAGTCCGATCATTTCTTACCCTATCCCCCAAATCTCCCTCTCCTCACTGCCCAATCCACTCTTCCAAGACTGCAGATAAAGGAAGAAAGAAGGCCCAGTCCCCATTCTATGCCCGGCACCATGCCAGGCTCTTCTCAAATATGCATTTCAGGGGGTAGGGTGGCCGGCAGGGGAGGCTCACCATGAGCCCATCCTCAGAAAAGTGACTGTGATCAGCGTTTCACAGGAGCCAACCATCAGGCTGTCTGAGTGACCCAAGGGCTTAGGGACATCTGATATGCCAATCAAGGTGAGTTCAGAGTCATCTGAGGATGCAGGGCTGGGGTGCTCCTGCAGTCCGGTTAGTTGACATCAGTTCTTTTCTTTTGCATCTTATTAGGAAAAGGTTGCGTGAACAGAAAGGGGCTAGCCAGTCTTAGAGACCCAGGGAAAGGATCGTAGAACAGGGATTGGCAGGTCCAGGCAAGTGTTTTCTAGGGAGAGGGCAGCTTGGCAAACAGACCCGAAAACAGTGCAGAGTAGGCTCCAGCCTCGACTGCCTGGGTCACCATCCCACCTTCACTTCCGATGGGATCATGGGCAAGTTCAAAACCCTCCAGAACTTAGTTTCCCACAACTGTAAAATGGAACTAGTGACAGCACCTATTTAACAGGGTTGTTATGAGGCCACATCAGAAAGCACTGCCTTTTACTTGGGACAAGGCTGGCATATGTTGTAAACCCCCAAAGAACAGCAGCTGCTGTTAAATGGATGGTTTCCATGGCAAGGTCTTTGTAGTCTCTAATGGGGGAAAGTGCCTTGGGCTGACCATTCACATTTCTGGCCTGCTCCACAGATGCCCATGACCTACGCCGTCGTGAAACCACAGAGGAGAAATGCTGTCGTGCTTGAGTGTCACTCCCTTACCTCCCTGCACTTCCTACCCCAAGGTCAGCCTTGAAGGGCACCTCACAGTCGACTGGGCACCAGAGAACCTTAGGTTTCCATTCCTGACTCTGCCACTTCCTTTTTAATCCTAAAAGACTGAGATTTCTTGTTTGCAAATTGAGGGTAATGGTACCTCCCCTGAAGGGCTGATATGAGGAAATATGAAGCTCCATGCCTAGCATATAATAGATATTAAATAAACGTGCCTTTCTTCCTTGCTTAGCTGGACCAGAAGCTTCTGAAGGGGAGATGCTGTCTTTTCTTGTGTCTACTGATCTGCTCATCACTGCTGTAGCACAGGGTAAGGGACGAAGCCAAGTCCTTGTTTCACACGTAACCCTCAGCATTTCTTTTTCTTTTTCCTTTTCTTATTTTTTTTTTTGAGATGGAGTTTTGCTTTGTCACCCAGGCTGGAGTACAGTGGTACAATCTTGGCTCACTGCAAGCTCCATCTCCCGGGTTCAAGTGATTCTCCTGCCTCAGCCCCCTGAGTAGCTAAGATTACAAGTGTGTGCTACCACATCTGCCTAATTTTTGTATTTTTAGTAGAGATGGGGTTTCACCATGTTGGCCAGGCTGGTCTCGAACCCCTGACCTCAAGTGATCCATCCGACTCGGCCTCCCAAAGTGCTGGGATTACAGGCATGAGCCACTGCGCCTGGCCACCCTCAGCATTTCTTTATTAGATTTGTCTGTCTGTCCCACAAGAAGTTATGGGGGAAGCCCAAAGTGCCTAGAAATTTCATCTGGGATCTGATTGATTAACTGGAGCCAGAACGGTCATCATCATGTTTTCAAATGGGCAGACCTCCTGTAACTTTTCATTTGGTGGGGCAGAGGATTCCAAAAGTCATGACTGTGTTAAACGGGAGTTACAGATTATAAAAACATCAGTTTAGGCCGGGCGCGGTGGCTCAAGCCTGTAATCCCAGCACTTTGGGAGGCCGAGACGGGCGGATCACGAGATCAGGAGTTCGAGACCATCCTGGCTAACACGGTGAAACCCCGTCTCTACTAAAAAATACAAAAAACTAGCCGGACGAGGTGGTGGGCGCCTGTAGTCCCAGCTACTCGGGAGGCTGAGGCAGGAGAATGGTGTAAAAACCCGGGAGGCGGAGCTTGCAATGAGCTGAGATCTGGCCACTGCACTCCAGCCTGGGCGACACAGCGAGACTCCGTCTCAAAAAAAAAATAAAAATAAAAATAAAAAAAATATAAAAACATCAGTTTAAAACGACTGACTTGGAACAAATCCAGAATATCAGACTTTCTTCTGATTTGAACTTGAACTCAATGATACACTACTGAGCTAAGATCCCTGAGAGAAAATGGGTTGGAATGAATTGTAAAGTCTGGGCTCTCTTACCAATACAGAGTGGAGGAGGGTAGTTCCATCGCCGCACGGTTCCAGGCATGCAGGAGATGTGGGCGTGGCCCTGGAGGAATCAGGAACAGGGATGGGCTAGCTGTCCCCGTGGGCACAATTGTATGTACAACCAGGGGCTGTACAGGGGTCTGGTTCAGGGGCCTCATGTTAAGGAACAAGATACACAAAGACACACAGATCCACTGTGGGATGGGAGTAAGGCAGAGGGAGAGAGAATTTGGGGAAGGACAATTATTAACAACCATTACTAAAGAATTCTCATTATTAGAGGTTTCCTTGTGAGATTCCTTTAATTACTAAATTCCCTGATGGCCTTCAAAGGGAAATTAAATTTCCCTAAAGCCGAATGAAACCCAACTTTGCAGGAACACATTGGAGGTTGGCTTGTGCCAAATTGTTAAAGTCAGCAGAGTTTATCTTTCGCATGAACAGCTCCAGGAGAGGATAATGGTACCCAGGGGACTTGGGGGCTGCTCCCTGTTCTTTGGTGACTGTAGCTCTGCTGGTACAAGGCTGGCCAACCACATCTCAGGGGACACCTGTTTCCTGCTCTAGGGTGTCAGGGGAGGTACCTGGAGGGCATATCCCGGCTCACACTGGAAAGACACTACATCATTCACCAAGTAGCGCTCGCCAGTCTTCACCCCATTACTGGGCACAGCAGGTTCCGGACAACTGCTCAGGCCCACCGCTAGACAAGACAGAGACAGAAGGAAAGGAGAATGGACTAGCCCAGCAGGTCAGCACGGCGGTAGGCTGGGGTGATGCTGGCGGCAGGGAGAAGGGGTGCCTCTAATTTGTGCTTTCTCTCATCTTGTAGGCTAGTTCTTCTCAACTCTCTTCACCTTGCAGCACACAGAGAAAAACAGAATATTTACATGGCATGGAGGTTCAACAGACCAAAGCTCCTTGGGGAAGGTGTGTGTGATTCCAGGGGATGCTGGCTGTCCTGTCCACCCACTGAGCTCTTAGAGAGGGGGCTCAGCTAGGGAGACTTCTCCGCATGCTCTCTTCCCACATCCCTCCTGCTTCCTACTCTTAACTCCCCTCTGTCTTCCTTATCCTAAGAAGACAGATCCTGTAGACTAAGACAGAGAGAGAGAGAGAGAGAGAGAGAGAGGGAGGGAGGGAGGGAGGGAGAGAGAGAGAGAGAAAAGAAAGTCAAGAAGGAAGGAGAGCAGGGAGGGACATATCAGCGATGCTCAGGGGCTCAGTTAGAGTCAGTTAGAGTCAGACCAAACCCAGTCTGACCCCAGGTCTGCCAAGTGGAGGCCAAGACCTGAGGCCACATGAGTCCATGTCTGACCCTGTCCCCTGCTCTCCCTGCCTCCCCTCCTAAAATGGTCCTCATCCTGCTTTGAATCCCTCCCTGGCTGCCTCTCACACAGCAAATGGGAGTGTAGCATTTCCAGACAGGGGGCTTCCTGCCTCTTCTGTGCTTTGCGGGAGTCCATGTACAGGTGCAGGCACTTCAGATGCACTAAAAAGTTTCTGTGCCTTGCTAGACTGGACTTGGAGGGCACTTCTCCAGGGGCAAGGGCCAGAAGACTCATGAGGAGGCGGAGAGGGAGCTGTAAACTCTAAAGTGGTCTTCTTCATCAAGGCGGCAGAAAGGGGTGGATGGCGAACTGTGTACCTGGGTGGCATGGCCCAGAGAGTGTGGGAGATGGCAGCCTCGGCCCTTCTGGAGGCTCCCTTGGGGGATACAGGCTCCCTGAGGAGTCCACCTGTATCCAGTGCCCACAGGCAGCTAGGGGCTCATGGAAAAGAAACAGGGAAGGATCAATCAGCCTAGACCACCAGCCACCAACCCATCTTCCCAGGCAGCGGCAGATGAGTCCTCATGCCACATTCAGAGATGAGACTCTGATAACTACATGTGCTTTTTTTCCTTCTGAGGGAAACTCACATATAACAAAATGCACAAATTGTGCATGAACGTGGTAATAATCAAGTAAACATCATAATCTTGAGTGTACCTGTGCTGAGTTTTGACAAATGCCTGTACCTTTGTAACCCAAACACCTGTCAAAACCACAGAACGTTGCTATCACTCTGGAAATTCCTTCACACTCTTCGCAGGCAATTCCTGTCCCACATGTGCTTTTAAGATGTGAGTGTGATATTTGGAAATGAAAGCTCTCTGAGCCTTGTCCAAAACTCTCAGCAGCTGAGACAAAAGACCCCAAGGACAAGCATTAAAAAAATCATCAAACTGAGTTTCAAGTGATTCATTTGTCATCTTGTCTATTTCTCCCCCTTCCTCTCCATACTCCAAGTAGAACAAAACTCACTATTTAGTGCAGTGGTTGCAACTAAGTAGACTGACTTATTGGAAAGACCTACTTACTGTCCAGTGATGGACAGAAAAGTGAATGAGAACAAAAAAGCATGGTAGGAAGAAAAATGGAATGGGAGAAAGGTGAGGCTGAAGAGAAAAATGGAGGGAGATAGAGAAAAGTCCATTCTAACTTATCTTACGCTACACAGATTGATTTTATTTAAGCCATGCTTACAGCAAAGGCAAAATTTTTTTATCATATGTAATGTATTACTTTTGAAAGCATATTGCTCCATTTCCATTTAAATTAAATAAACATTAATTATGAATCATAGCAGTGGATGTGACTTTTCAGTACCCTTCGAAACCATTTGCCTCTACAATAGCAGTTAATTCTCTATCGTCTGTGAGCTCTTTGTAGATTATCCTACAAAATAAAGTATAACTACAGGGCCCTGGCTCCTAGGAATTCCAGTCTCCAAATACAGTGGGAAGCTCTGTTTCTCCCTCCTAGCTCTTCCCATCATGAGGGGACAACATATGAAATGTCAGCTACTGAGAAAACTGCCACTCCCCTTGGACAAATAAAATTGAGAAGAGGTGGATTTTTTCCTGGGAATGAGGCAGTAGAATGGTAAAGTGATTTAGGAAGAAAATGTGTCTTTGGAAGAAGAAAGAACAGAGAGGATTCTAGGGAACATTTAAGAACTCAAAATATTGGATAGAGAAACAAAACTGGAGAGAACAGAGAAGAAGGGGTAAAAGGAAAAAATGTGATTTAGTCAAGAAACCCAGGATATTTCACTGCACCAGGGGAGTGAAGCCTTACACATCTGCTGGGAGGAGTCTCAGAGGTCCCTGTCCTACCCTCTACCCTGCAGGGTCTGCTTCTAGCTGTCCTGGGTCTTTTTTATTTTTTCCAGGTGCATGCTTCAGTTCTTTCAGGTGACGAGCATCCTGGGATCTATGTAATTCTTTCCGAAGCAGGTGGATGAAGTTCATTTGTTTCACAGACCCAGGTGGGCATGTGTGTAACATATAGTTCTGACCCAATCAGGCATCTAGCACCAAGTGGGCCTTCTTTCTGCTCAGGCCCATGCTGTCACAGATGGTCAAGCCAACCATGCCTTCCTACATTTTTCTCTTCCCGTTGCAAACCTAACAACTCAGGCATCCGCTTCTGCAAGGCCTAGCTTTAGCTCCTTTCCTTTGTACTTTCTTAGCACCTCAGGTTTCCCTAAAATGACTGTGTCCATGTCCATCTCTCCCTCTAGATTTTGTGCTTTTGAAGGCAGGGGCCTTTTCTTATTCACCTTTGTTCTGTGGAGACCTAACACAGGGCGTGGCACATTGCAGGTGCTCAATGTTTCTTCACGACATTTGCTTCTTCACCTGCCCACAACCATTCTCTCCCTTGAACCACTTCTCTACCATCTAGTGTCATCCAAGAGAGCACCTGTAATGCTGTCATGCACCTCTCCGTATCTACCGCTCTCTAGTGGACTTTGACTGACCCATCTTAATTGTTCCCAATCCGAGCACAGTGCCTGGCATGTTGTAAATGCTCAATAAGTATATGCTGAATGAAAGTGCAAAAAATGCTGCTGCCTACCTATTCTTCCCTGTACCCAGTGGAGAAAGGGGGTGGGGCAGGCAGTCCCAGTATGCAAGCAGTTTCCCTAGAAACCTCTTTCTTTGATCCCCAGAAGGCACATCCACAAATCTTTTTCTGTGAAGAGTATTTAGTAGTGACCACTGAGGGATGCCAGAAGCCAGGATATAAGGGTTTGAGCCTGCAGTGAGAAATCTGGTAGAAGATGAGTGAGGTATCCAATGAGAGGAGGAACTTCAAAAATAATCGCATCACAGAACTAGGGGTTAGAGAGGCCAGGTTTTAGAACTGGGGGAGGAAGGCACAATATTCTTACATCCCAATTATATACTGGGACCTTGGCCAATGCAAGTCCCCTTTCCATACCTGGTGTGGATACTGAGCAGGCATACAGGTTTTCGAGTAACAGACACTTGGACGAGAACTCAGCCTTGAGGAGGTTTCAGACCTTCTCCAGGCTTTAGCATCCTCACCTAGGCTTGAGGGAAGGCTTACGTGGGATGGACAACATGCAGCTCCAATATAACCCTTGCTCAGAAGGGGCTCAGTAACTGCTAGGTCCCACCCTGAACCCTGTACCAGCCAAGACCCCGGATTCTTACTTTTGTATTCCAAGTGGAAGCCAGCTGCAGATACGCTGATATCTGAGTAGAAATGAAGGTAGAGCTGGTTGGAGGTGCTGTTCAGAAGGGCAGGCACAGTTGTTCCTAGGGCAAGGATACCAGGGGTCATTTAAGTTTGGCTCCTCCAGGCCCTTGCATTCCTTCCCATTCTTCTGGATTTTGCTACCTGCTGACATTCTGCTCCCAAGGCCCCCAGATGTCCCCAGTTATGAAACTCACTAAATGACAAATTAGCACTCTTCAGAGGGCTAGGTGTCCAATGGCTGAGGGAGGGGAAACTCTAATCTGCTTGCTGTAAAATGAGCAGTGGCAGGGCCATGTGTCCACAGGAGGGTGAGGTATGAGTTTGGTCTCCTCTTAGCCATCTTCAGGATAGCTCTGACCCGTATTATTCTCTGGGCAGTCCTGCAGGGTGGACAGTTTATCTGGAGCATGTGACTCCTCTTTATCTCCTGGCCATCTAGAGTTCTGGGCCTAAAAGATTCAGATAATTGCCCTGGCCACTGGGCACAGCTATACACCACACTCAGTCAGAATTCCATCACTAGAATGGCAAAATGGTGTTGCCACTTTGGAAAACAGTTAGGAAGTTTCTCCAAAAGTTAAACATAGAGTTCCCCCATGACCCAGCAATTCCACTCCTAGGTGTATACTCAAGAGAAGTGACAACATGTGTTCACACCAAGACTTGTGCATGAGCATTATTCATAACAGCACACAAGTGGAAACAAGCCATTGACTGATGAACGGACACACAAAATATGCTCTGTCCTTACAATGACGTGCTGAACCATACTGTGACTTGGTGAACTTTGGAGACATCATGTTAAGTGAAAGAAGTCAAACACAGAAGGCTTCCATTTATATGAAATGCCCAGAATAGGCAAATGCATAGAGATAGAAAGTAGATTGCTGGTAACTAGAGGTTAGGTGTGGGCTGGGGAGGGGAGTGCAAATGGGTACCTGGTTTTTTTTGGGGTGGTCAAAATGCTCTGGGACTAGATAGTAGTGACGGTTGTAGGACCTTTTGAATCTACTGAAAACCACTGCTGTGTCCACTTGAAAATGGTGAATTTCATGGAATATAAATTATATCTCAATAATAATAATGATAATAGCAATGTTCATGATGATGAGTTTTAGCACCACCCTCCAAACTGAAGTCCCTGGAAACCAGCTTACCTGAGAAACTCCCCAGCATGGTTACAGTGTTATCTGCACCATCAAATACTTCCAGGGAGTCCCAGTTCTGCTCTGTGACAAAACTGATGACTTGGATCTGGGAAGGCAGAGGATTGAATTGTTGGTTAGGCAGCCTACGTCCCTCCCTCCTTCTCTGCTTTCCCTTTCTGCCCTTCCCATAGTTAATTCAAATTTGTTGAGCATCTACTCTGGGCCTAACACTATGCTAGTCCCTTCCAATAAAAGTAAGATGCAGCCCCAACTCCAAGGAGCTTGTTGTCCAGTGGGGAAGACAGATGTGGAAAAAAATGATTAGAAGACAGTGGGATATTTTGCAAAGTAGAGAATGGGGAAAAGAAATTCCAGGAAGTGGGAAGACAGTCTCACTGACTGTCTCCTCATCTCTGGAACATTCCTCGGGTTTCTCCACTTTCCTGCCTTGATTGCATCAGATGTCCTGCAGCAATGAGCCCATAACCCACTCCTGCCCGGATCTGTCTGCTGGAGTCCCAGTTTGCTGCCTCTCCGTTGGCCTTGCAGGCTCCTGACCCTCTTCCATGCCTTGGCACCAATGCTGGGGACTCCCTTTGCCTGGCTCTTACTCCTGGGTACCAGTTATGCCCCCAGTTCAGCTTCTACAGCTCAGGCTGTGCGAGGTTCCCTAGGTGTGTGCCTGGCAGTTCTCTGTGCTTCAGCTGTGCTGGGTGCTTTGCTCTTTCTTCTCATCAGCACTGCCTCCCTTCTAACCCTCAAAATCTTAAGAAAATCTTTAGCCATTTGAGAAACAACTTCTATGAATCCTTCCCACACTTCAGATTCCAGCTCCAGGCCCATTCCTTCTTTTAGCCTCCCCTCCTGGCCAGGGCCAAGCGATGTCCACCTCTCCTCCTTCCTGGATTACCCAACTCCCACCGCATGCCCCTGAAGCTCTTGGGGTCTGGAACCTACTGTGTTTTCTCCTTGGGGGCCACATCTCCATATTTGGACTGAGTCTCCTTAGCCACAGGGCCAGGTACAGGGCTGATATGTCTCTTCCTGGCTTACCCTGACTCAGGCCTTGGCACCAGCCAGCATCTGTGGTCGGCCACCTGTGAGCAGTTACCTGTGAGCAGACGGCCACTTGCTGGACCGAGGCACCTCCTTGCCCCTACCTGGATGCCAGCGCCTTCAGGGACCACGATCTTCCACACACAGTTGAGGCTGTTGAGGTATGGCTCTGGGAAGCCGGGGGACAGGATGGTACCCCTGCGCTCCGTGAGGTTGCCTCCACACGGCACTGGGAGGAGAGGCCATCGGGTCAGAGGGAGCCTCCCCAAGCAGACTCCTCCCTCAGGGCCCCCAGCCTCTGTTTGTCCTCCTCCCCATGGGAGCGTCTCCCTAATGTCCCCAGTTCTGCCTTCTCCATGGCCTCTTCCCATGCAACTCTCTTTGGGGCCCTGGGCTCCGCTCCTCTTTCCACGTGTGCCCCCTTCCCAGTACCCTGGCTGTCTTCCACACAGCCCACAGCGCCGGGGACTGGAGCTGACTGGAACACCCCACCTCAGCCATGCGGTGGGAAGCGGCCGCTGTGTGCCGTGGGGCATCGCTGGGGCTGACTGCCTCCCCTAGAGGGAAGGGACTACGTACCGCCCCCCGCACCCCCAACGCCCGGGACCTGGTTACTCACCCACACACGTGGGCGCTGAGACATTCCACTGGGCCAAGGCCCCAGGCACAGGGAGGCACTCGATCTCTGGCGACCCCTGCAGGGCATAGCCGGAGTTGCATTCGAAGCGGACGATGGCCCCCACCGAGAAGTCACTGCCCAGCCTCTTGCCATAGCGGGGTTCCGGCACAGAGCTGCACTGCGTGGCGCTGGTTCGGGGAACCGCTGTGGGGGACAAGGGCACTGAGGGGAGGACTCACCCCCCAGAAACTGGCCCAGGGACAGACATACAACGGGTCTGGAACAAAGACCGTCTGGATGAAACCCTGAGAGGCTCTGGAAGCTCTCCCGTAGGGAAGGGCTTGAGGGCAAACTAGGAAGATGCCTGTTACACTGAAGCATGGTTGGACACACAGTGCTACAGCACAGCTCCTGGAAAGCATGGGAGGTAGAGCCGTGGACCTCCCACAGACCTTAGGCCCAGTTTTGTTCTTTGCTTTCCCAATGATGCCCCTCACTCAGCAGGGTCCCACTTTCCCTAGCAAGGAGAATGGGCCTTCCTCCTCCACCTTCTCAGGGCCTTCACCCTGCCTCTGTCCTGTTTTCCCCATGTGCCTTAAGATCCTGCCTGGGGCCCTGCCCTCCATGACCCCCATCTTCTCTCCCTCCTGCCGCCCACAATGGCTGATGGGCCCAGGATGGCCTCCCCTGTGGCAGGGTCACCCCTACAGAGAAACACAGCTCATCCTGGGCAGAGTTGAATGAGCAGGACCATGCTTAGAACCTGGGCCCTACAGAAGTGGATGTTCCCCTGGGCAAGTGGAGGTTGGGGCCTGGGGGTGAAAGCCAGGGTGCTCCAAACTGCCTTTCTGGGCCGGTAAGGAAGGGAACTAACACCGACTGGCTGGCTGGTACCAGCTAGTTCCTGAAGCCTCTTTGCATCCTATCAGTGAGGCATTGCGATTGCCCTCTTCTCACAGGTGAGCAAACAGGCTCTGAGGCCTGGCGTAGCTGGAGCCTAGCTCCAAGGTGGGGAGGTGGGATTCAAATCCATGTCCACGGCACTTCAAAGCCTGTGTTTTCCCTGCACCTTTACTGTGCCTGGCAGACAAAGCCAAGCTCCAGGGGAGTCTAGGTAAGACGCCTGAGCTGGTCTCTTCAGTGCCATCTGGACCATGCCAGACAATGGGTGGGGTGGGGAAGGGGAAAAAATTAGCTTCCCTTGTCTGATTTCCTTCCTCATTTAACACAGAACTTGTCTAAGAAATGTCTGCTGAGTAAGTGAATGTATAAAATTCAACTGAATTTCAAGGAACTGCCCTACAAACTAGTAACTGCCCCCAAACACCCTGAGACTAGAGGTCAAAGATCCCTGTTCCTTCGATCACGAGTCCCTTAAGAACCGAGATCACCTTCCTACCTCCGGCGTCCATGTCCTCCATACCTTGGTAGACAAAGTGGAAGCCTCTGGCTGGTGCGAGGCCTTTGGCACTGAACTTAATAAGAACTTGATTGGAGGTGGCCAGGGGCAATGATTCTCCTGCCGAGATAAGGGGCGAGGAGGAGAGAACAGTGAGTCCAGCAGGTTGGTCCAGAAGACAAAATCCAGGCCAGGAAGGATTTCATGCAGCAATTCCTAGCAATTCCTTCCAGTACCCCATGCAGCAATTCCTTCCACATTCCAGGCCTTCCTGAAATGAAATCTTACATTTTCTACTGCGCTTTACAATTTAAAGTTTCTAGAAAGCTTTTCATCCACAGTCTTAACTTGACCTGTGGTCATGGTGAGGTTGGCATGACAGAGTTGAGTACCCTCATTTAATAAAGAAAGAAAGAGAGGCCCAGAAAGATTAAATGACCTGTGCCGGAAAGGAGAAGGCTGCTAAGGATGTGTGGAGCGAGAGGGATGGAGAGAGTGGCTGTTACTAAGCCGACTGACTGGTGGTTTACTTGGAAAACTGACATGAATCTGCATTTTAAAAAATAGCATTGGCTTCTGGGAAGGAGGATGATGTGATCATCTGGGAGCAACTGGTCTTTCCCAGACACTCTCCCACCACCCTGTCGATAACCAGAGCGATGGTGTAATTTATTGCTCATACTGGAAAACTTCTGAGAGTCAAAGAAAGTGCTATCAATAGTTACGGTGGGACTGTCCCAGGCAAACCAGGATGTACTATTGCCAGCCAATAACACACAAACTGGGGGGAAGCTGCATGGCCACAGGAAACCAGGGTAGGCTGACAGCCTTTGTAGCAGAAGACAAAGGTGCATCTTCTGCTTGGTGTGGTACAGATAGGCCAGGGGAGAGACAGCACCAACGAGACCTGTAGCCAATTAGTGTAGTCGCCATCCTGGGGAAGCCCAGGGAGAACATGGGTGGAGGCAGCAGCATGGCCACTCTGCCTGCTGGCCCCCTGCAGACTTAGGGACCCCTGGGAAGGGCTGCTGACCCCAGACCCCATTCTCAGGAGGGAAACAGTGATTACAGAGAACCAGTAATCACTCCACTACAGTGAGGGCTAGAGTTAGGACCCACAAGGGAGCTACTGGGAGGTCCACCTGTACTTCCAGGAAGCTGAAGTGATGCCACCAACACAGGAGCAGAGAGCCTTTCGCAAAACAGGCTTAGATGTACATGTGACCCAGAGGACTGAGCCTGGCTAGGAGTCATTGCCCCAGCTAACAGTTATTGCCCCAGCTAACAGTCATTGCCCCAGCTAACAGTCATTGCCCCAGCTAACAGTTATTGCCCCAGCTAACATGTAGCTGCCAAAGCAGGAAGAAACTCATGAAGACAAAGCCTCCCTTTGTTATCACTGCCATCTCCAACTCCTCCTCCAGATGGATGTGAGCAGAGTGAAACTCAGCTTTTCTATTTGGCCTGACAGATGTGGATAAGGACCCTAGTGAGCTCTCACAGAACCCATGTCAACTTCAGCCCTGAAGGCACATGGGCCTCCATCTTTGAGAGAGAGCAAATGGTAAAATCACTGGACATAAGAAAAAATGTTAACGTTTTGAGGAAGGAGATCACTCTGAGAGGTCAAAGCAAATACTTTATTTGAACCACAATAAAGAACAGGCAAAACTCTCAGCAGATGTTCAGTCATGGTTGTCATGAGATTAAATCTAGCATTGCATCTGTGAAGTCAGAGGATGAAGGATCTGAGATCAATAGAGATGAGAATGCTAGTGCAAGCAGCTGGATTCCACAGAAACTGAACAGTGAAGTGGAGATGAAATTTTGGAAATTCTCTCAATCCACAGAAAAAGTATAAAGAGATTAAAATAACGAGAGAAATGACAAGTGACATGAAAGATGAAAAAAAAAAATCCATATGCATATATCAGGAATTCCAGAAAGAGAAGACAGAGAAATTGAAGGAGAAAAAAAGTCACTTAAGGCAGGGTGCGGTAGCTCACATCTGTAATCCTAGCACTTTGGGAGGCCGAGGTGGGCGGATCACCTGAGGTCAGGAGTTTGTGACCAGCCTGACCCACGTGGTGAAAATCCATCTCTATTAAACATATAAAAATTAGCCGGGTGTGGTGTAGCACAACTGGAGTCTCAGCTACTTGGAAGGCTGAGGCAGGAGAATCGCTTGAGCCTGGGAGGCAGAGGTTACAGTGAGCTGAGATCGCACCACTGCACTCCAGCCTGGGCGACAGAGTGAGACTCTGTCTCCCCCGCACACACAAAAAAATCATTTAAGAAAGAAGACACTTTTCCTAAGATGTGAGGTTCAGACTGAAGTATTTGCCAAGTGCAAGATAGAATTAGTGAGAAGAGACTTCCACCACAACACATCCTAGTGGGCTTTTTCATTAACAACAAAAAAGAAAATCATATAGACAGAAAAGCACAGGTTATGTACAAGGACAAAGAATCACGCTGGACTCCAATTTGTCTGTAACAGTAAATGGTGGAATAATTACTGCAGTTTTGAAAGATAAAGTTTGACCCATAATTTGATTTGCAATCAAGTTGTTATTTATATCTATGTCAAAAGGAAAGCATTCTCATATATGCATGGTGACAGAAAGTACTGCAGTTATAAGCCCTACTGAAAAACAAAAAACCAAAAAAACAAAAAAACGAAAAAACAAATCCAAAACTAAAGTAGGGAATTCAGGAACCAGCAGGGATAAATACAACCAGAAAAGTATAATGAGCTAACAAAACAAAATGAGCTAACAAAACAAAATGCAAATGTAAAAATTTGCTCTTGGGGAGGAAGTCCACAATTTAAAAAATAACCACTATAACATTAATATAAAAGTCCAAATATGTCAAGAAGAACTTGAAAATTTAGAGATGGGTCAGGTATGTATGGAAAAGCGAGGAAACAAAATAAAAACAACACAAACAAAAGCACAGAAAGAACAATACAAGATGACAGATGTCAGACCAAGTAATTCACTTGTAAAATAAATGAGTCAACTTCCTCTTAAAAGAAAAAGAGTTGGAGAAAATGAGAGAAGATATGTCAGGAAAACAGATGCAAAAATTGCTAGAAATACAAGAAGACAACAAAATATCATAATTGTAATGGGAAATACTTTCATGCAACATTCACAATCATTGATACATCAAATAGAAAAACAAAATGAAGACTGTTGAGTAGCAGTCCTTTAGCTTTTTCTCCCCTAGCACAACTCAGGGACAGGGACTTAGTGCACTCCCATCAGTACCAATGGCTCGTTACAGTGTTTCTTCGAATGAGGAATAAGGGACTCTCTGAATACACTGAAATTGACACCTACAGGTTTTTTTTTTCTTTTTCTTTTGAGATGGAGTCTCGCTCTGTTGCCCAGGCTGGAGTGCAATGGCGCAATCTTGGCTCACTGCTACCTCTGCCTCCCGGGTTCAAGTGATTTTCCTGCTTCAGCCTCCCCAGTGGCTGGGATTACAGGCACCCACCACCATGCCCAGTGAATTTTTGTAGTTTTAGTAGAGATGGGGTTTCACTGTAATCCCAGCACTTTGGGAGGCTGAGGCAGGTGGATCACTTGAAGTCAGGAGTTTGATATCTACAGGTCTTATACATCTCTCTCTCACTCTTCTTCCTCCCCCAACTTTTTTTTTTTTTTTTTTTTTTTGGAGATGGAGTCTCGCTCTGTCACCCAGGCTGGAGTGCAGTGGCCGGATCTCAGCTCACTGCAAACTCCGCTTCCCGGGTTTATGCCATTCTCCTGCCTCAGCTTCCCGAGTAGCTGGGACTACAGGTGCCCACCACCTCGCCTGGCTAGTTTTTTGTATTTTTTTAGTAGAGACGGGGTTTCACTGTGTTAGCCAGGATGGTCTCAATCTCCTGACCTCGTGATCCGCCCGTCTTGGCCTCCCAAAGTGCTGGGATTCTCCCCTACCTTCTCCTTCCTTCTTTCCCTTCCCTTCCCTTCCTGTTTCTATTGGTCCTATACACTTATATCTATATCCATATTTATATCTATAGGTCTTAAATGTAGACCTCTCTATCTCTCTTTACTTGATCCTTACTATACCTCTAAATCTATAGCTATACATCTATCTATCTATCTATCTGTTTTGAAAAGGCGTCCTACTCCAGGAGTTCCTGATTTACACTCTTGGTTGGGTGTGTATGTGTGAGGTGGTGGTTACAAAAAAATTATTTGGTTGAGGATCACTGATACAATAGATTTGAATAACAAAATTGAGTAAGACTGATTTAATGGCAATTACAAATCTCATTTACTCCTAACACTATAGGAAGTAGGATTCTTTCTCTTTGCATTTTACAGAGGAGGAAACTGAAGCTCAGAGAGGTCAAGTATTGTGCCCTAAGTCATCTAGAAAGCAAACAGGAGAGCTAAGAAAAGAGTGTGATTGTACAGCCTCAGCTCATTCGTCCTGATTCTCTACCTTACAGAGAATACACATCCTTCTTAGATATTTAGAAAACTAAAAAAAAAAAAAAAAAAAAGGTCCTTGGCTACTGAGAGGACCTCAATTAATCCTCAAAGAAGAAATGGTACAGGCCACATTCTCTCTCTACATGGAAATAAAAATATAAATTAACACAAAAGTTTAATTCATCAAGAACAAAATCCATATTCTTAGGGGAAAAGGAAAGACATTCTTAGCCAACTCTTGGGCAAAAAGAGTAAACAACACCATGACGAGCTATTTGAAAAGTAATTATGATGAACATAGTACATAACAAAATTTACAGCATGAAGCCAAAACTATGCTTGGAGGTAAATACATCGCTGTAAACATGTTGCTTATTACGCAGAGAAGATAATGAACAGAGCTCTCAATTCAAGCAGTTAGAACAAGAACAAAATAATCAGAAGAAAAATATGAGGAAGGACATGATGAAATAAAGGCAGAGATTAATAAAAATAACAACAAACTCTGCAGAATAATTGATAAATTGCAGCAATAAAAATTAAAAGAACAAACAAAAAAACACAAAATACCTGGTACAGCCAAGGAAAAAGGGGATGATGAATGCACGATGCAGCATAACAAAGGCAGGAATATCACCGCTAATACAAAGCAGGGTAAACATCACCGTAGTACATTATATAAATTGTGGTACTAAATGTAAAGGAAATTATGAAATGGATTTTTTTACTAAAAGCTAAAATATCAACATTGATATTAGAGCAATATACCTGAATAGACCAATAACTGTGAAAAAAAAATAAAAGAAAAGCCACTGAAAAGGAGGAGATAAAATAATGAGACAAATTTATTTGCAGATGATATTACTTCTTGCCTAGAGGAGCCAGGAGAATTAGTTGGCAGTGAAAGCAGTATTATGAAGAGTCCAATGACTTTATGAAACAAATATGCCAAAAATGCCAGTCTTTGAATATACTAGCAAAGACCAGCTAGAAAACATAACGGGGGAAAAAAGACCCATTTACAACAGCAACAAAAATCTCCATGAAATGTCTAGGAATAAAGTTAAGAAAAAATGAATACTGCCTAAATAAAAATTATAGCATCGTTCCAAGGGCTACAGAAGATAAACAAATGGAGAGACATGTTGTATTCCTGGATGGGAAGAAGAGTTAATATTATAAACATGTGAGTTCACCCTAATTTAACGTGTAAGTTTTATTAAATCTCAGTCAAGATTTTGATGCAATGTTTTAAACTTGACAAAATATTTCTAAATTTAATTTGGAGGCAAAAGTAACCAGCAACAGCCAATAAAAATTCAAAAAAAAGGATGACTCTGGGGACTTATAATACCATGTGTTTAAAATTATTATATAGTAAACACTATTATAGTGTTACAATAATTAAAACTGAAAAAGGAATAAACAGACATTTAGAAGAAATGGATAAAAAGTCTAGGAACAGACACTTCATAAATATTTAGTATATGTAAATTTGGCATTTTGAAAATTCTGCTAGGACAACTGATTAACTATATTTGAAAGAATATGGTTAGATTCCCTATATCAAATAATAAATCAAAATAAATTCCAAAGGTATTAAAGCAGTGTGATGAAACTAAGAAGTGAAAGAAAACACAGAGGAATATTTATTTGACCAGCATAAAAGCAAAGGAGAAAACTATAAAAGAAAATATTGATAGATTTGATAGCATGAGAAATTTACATATTCTGACATTAAAGCACCCTGACGAAAATTATATAGCAAAAGACAAGCTGGAGAGGAGGGCTTTTCATAGCATATTATGTATATATTTATATAGGTTAAAATATGGAGCTCTGCTCAATAAATAAGAAAATAAGTGCTTATAGAAAAATCGACACAAATTCACAATAAATTCACAAATAAAAAATGCACAGGCCAATAAACACATATAAAAATTTAACCTAACTAGTAATAAAACAAGGCAAATTAGAAAATGAGATACCATTTTTCACTTTTCAAACTGATGACGCTTTTGTTTTTTTAATTACCTGGTTTTTGTAAGAATAAAAACATGCCCTCTTATTGTTGGTGATCAAACTGACAAGATCTTTCTAGAGGGATATTTGATAATCTGCACAAAAAGCCTTAAAGATCTCACATATCCTTTACACTGACAATTCCACTTCTAGATATTCTAAAGTGACAGAAATGTATATAAAGATGTATGTACAATACATTGCATTACTATTCATAAGCACAAAACATTACAATCTAAATGTTCAATAATATGGAATTCGTTACATAAATTTTAACTAACTGTATGAGAGATTACTATGTGGCACTTAAAAATCCTAGCCTAGAAGAAAAAAAATGACAGAGAAAAGCTCGCAGTGAATATTTCAATAAAATATGTATATTGGTTTGTTGAATATGTAAACATCGAAGTAGATACGAAGACCGGAAGTAAATCCACTACATCTTGTCAGTGGCTCTTTCGGGGTAGTCTTTATTTTGATTCTGTATGCAATTATTTTGTTTTGTCACTAAGTTTTCTATGATGAAAATGCAATACATTAATAAGAAAAAGGTTGCATTTGAATACGAACCAACAGAAGGCTACACCACAAGGGGGCGTTGTAGACACAGCCTGGGTGAGGGCAGCTGCTGAAGGCCCCGCTAGTTGGAGCTCTCAGGAGCTGGCCGCTGCGTTGTAGACGGCACCAGAGCACCACACGCATGCAGAGTCCTAGGGTTCCACCTGCGGCCATGGGGTGCTTCTAGAGCCTCCTTCCTTTAGCCGGCCGTGATGCCCCCAGCCCATAACCGTCCCCACCCTGGCCGAGCCCCGGATACCTGTGTGGGAGCCCGACAGGGAGCTGAGGAGCCGCGAGTGCTGGCTGTGGCCGTCGTGAACCTCCACCACGTCGTTGAGGGCCGTGTGAAAGAAGGCGAACTGGCCAAACACCACTGTGGAGGAGACACGGTGTGGGGACTGGGCAGGCGCGCTGGGGGCAGGAGAGGGGATCTCGGGGTCTAGGGGCCCAAGTCAGGAGGAAGGCAGCCCTGGGGAAGTTGTTGGTTCCTGGGCTGTGGCCTGCTGCACTGGTTAGTGCAGCCGCACAGTCTGGCAGTGGCCAGACACCCAGCATAGGGAGGGCACAGGGAGGCGGGGAGCTGGGAAGGCCGGGCTGCGCTTCACAAGGGTCAAGACAACACCCGCTGCACCCAAAGGTCAGGCGGGTGGAGGCGAAACGGAACCAAGTTTGTTCCTTTCCCAGATAGCAGCTGCAGCAGCTACTGGAGGCCATCACAGGGCTTTTGGTACCATCCCTCATTCTCCATGTGATGTCAGGACTCCACATTCAGGCGTCCCAAGGCCAGTTAGTCAGTGTCATTGAGTTGAAAACTGTACACAGAGATCTGTAGTGAGTGCTGTGAGCTCCTTGTTACTGGGGGGATTCAAGCACAAACTGCATGCCCACCTATCAAGGATTCTGCTCTGGGTAGCAGATCAGATTGGACAGCCTTTCAGGACTTTTCTAACTGTGATCCTGCAGGTCTGAGGCTCCTGCCACCTCAGTATATTGGGGAGTGTGTGTACATGTACATAAGTGTCCTGGTTCTGGGGAAGGAGTGGGTGTACTGATGGCTGGAGCTATGCGTAGAGATGAGACTGGGAATTTATAGAAGACAGAGAACATGTCTCTCTCATCTCTGCAACTCCAGGACCCAGCAGAGTGCATGGCCCCCAGTGGGTGCTTACTAAATGTTTGGTGAATGCCTCAAGCATCAGGCCTTGCTCTGTGCTTGCCCCTCCTGTCTTGGGGAATAAGGAGTTAGCTCTCTGCAGGCTGCTCCCTCCCTCCTGCTTCTCCCCTAGATGGTTGGGACGTGTTGATGTCCTTTGCCACACCCAACATCAATGGTGTTTAGACATGGTTGTTAGTCCTCCTACAAAGAGGAGATCCAGGAAGAAAGAAGCCAGCCTGGTCACCTGGTTGCCCTTCATCTTTCCGAATGCCTCCAGGGCTGGCGGGATTCTTGAATGTCCCCACTGCCAACAAGGTAATGAGCTTGGTTTTTTCTGCCCACATCTCTTGGAATCTGGAAGTTTCTCTGTCTTCCCAGGGCACTGGCCTGTTTTTCACTTTTTTCTTGCTTGTCCTACCAATAGCTTCTGGATCAGGCTTTGGTTCTCAGATGGGACACCAGAATGATGTGGCTCCTGGTCTCCCTCACCTGCACTTTCAAGCCCAGCTCCATCCCATTCCTTTCCTCCCTCCTGCTCCTTGGCCACTCACCCTGGGTTCCTAACAGGTCTAGATCTGCGGCACCTCCCTTAGGACTTGGGTCATACTGGGTAGCTCCCTGGGGCACCTTGCCTTCCCTGTGTCTTGGCCAGTTTCTCACCAACCCTGTCCCCTTGGTTCTGGCGGGGCTCACTTATGCCCTTCTGCCCTCTGTGTCAGGAATGTATTCTACAGCCCGTTTTAGAACGTCAGCACTCAGCTGTCCTTTTTGGGAGACTGTTCTGCAGTTCGCACAATGGGGCTGCATAATTGGGAGGAGTCTGAGGAATTGTCCATTCTGGAATGAGGGTGAGGAGTCAGAAAACATATGAAGAACAACCCAAACCCATACCATAGTCCTTGGGCACAGTAACAAAATACAAGCAGATCTGTCCATTGGTGTAGTTCTGGGGGTAGTTGGGGGACAAGACCACTCCGTCCGAACCCACATACTGTCCCCCACAGGGGGCTGAAAGAGAAAGAAATAGAGAGTCAGGTGACCTTGTGGGCCTCTTACCAGTGACCATCCTTTGTTCTGCTCCAGCCTGAGCTTCTGACCCCAGTAGGGCTGCCCTGAGGTGGGCGGCCCCTAGCTTGGAGAAGGGAAGTCCTGTGGACCCTGCCCTGCCCAACGACATGCACCCCTGGCCTGGCATGTGGCCTGAAACTTGCCCTGGAGCTACCGAGGGCCCTCTTGGGCAGGTGTCAGTTCTTGCCCTCTACCTATTAACCCTGGCATTAGTCCCTGAAGTCACAGCCTTAGGGAGCATATTAGGAACTTCCTCTGCTTACACGTGGGGCCTAGAAATGATCTGCTGCCCCTGGCTGACATCTGACCTGGAGAGTGAGTGTCAGCATGAGCAGGGAGCTGAAGCTTCCCTGGACTAACCCCATGGGGAGCGGCCAGGTCATGTGACCCAGCCACCTTCTGTTCCCCTCCACCATGCCCAATTTCCACAAAGGGCGGGTCTGAGCCTGCCTCTCTTACCATGACAAAGGGGTACCCTTTGCTTTTCAATGGGTGGTCACCAAGCTCTTAAAGCCCTGCTACTCATTCCTATCCCTCTTGTCAGGACCCCCATGGTTCACCCAGACCCACCTGGAATCAGCGCACTCTGCAGGCCTTACTTCGATATAACTGATCTCTCAGTGATTTTCCCTAGGCCTAGGAACTAGTCCAGGGGCCACCTTTAAACGACTTCTCCCTGGTGTGAGCCCCCTGATGTGGCATGTCTGGAGGCCTCTGTTGAGGACATGAGCAACTATGTGAATGGGGGTGGGGACACCATGTGATCTGAGATGACACCTTGACAGGAACTGCACACCTAGTGAATTATAAGCCACTTCTGTACACATCCACAGCAAACCCAGGTGTGCCAGGCTTGGAGGAGCCAGCCTTGAGGACCATGCCCCCTTCCTTTCCCTAGCCCACAGCGCCTTCTGCCCCTGGCATGCCCTCAGTTCCTCAGACCCCTGCCATCCCCGGGCTCCCACCACCTGTGCAGACTGGCCGGGGATTGTTCCACACGGGCTTCCCATCAGGCCCCAGGATGCAGCTCAGGGTCGAGGCGCCCTCAACTTCGTAGCCTGCGTGGCAGTAGTAGGTGACAGAGGAGCCCAGCTTCAGGTCGGACCCCACCCGCGTGCCGTTCTTGATGGAACCAGGATCAAAACATGACTCCCGCGGGTTTTCTGGGAAAAAGAAACACAAACACGTGCACACACACAGAGGGCTCATGAGGAGGCTATTCTTGGGCTGCAGGGCCCATGAGGAGAACCCGACTTTAATTAGCCACAGAGCGCACAGGGATGCGCGACTGTGGCTCCTATTCCCCTCAGGTCTAGAAACGTCTCTAAATTTGGGTAGAAATTGAAGGATGGAAATCACATTGAAGAGGGCAATTTCCCCGCCTCTCCCCATATTCTTGCCTTGACCCGCAGAGGAAGGAGCCCCAGCAAAATGCCTGAGGCCCTCTCTCATCCCTGCTCGCTCCTCCCAAAGGGAAGCATGTGTTTCTCTGACTGGTGGGGGCTGACGGTCCCTGGCCCACATCTCAGCTGCCAGCAGAGTCATTGTGGTAAAGGTCAGTGCTTAGGCACAGCCCACCCCTTTGCTCATCTTTGACCCCTCACACTCAGCAGCCTCCTGGCCTTTTATGTTCCCCTGAGAAGCAAGGCAGACAGTCTGCTTTTCGAGATGCTCTTTCTCTTCCTCTCTCTTCTGCCCCATCTGTACCACTGGCTGGGGAGTGGAGCTGGCATCCGTTCTGCAGGCCCAGTCACACCCATCTGTTGCAGGTACTTCTGAGTGCATGGATACCAATACTTAGATTCAGGGAGGAAGTACAAAACCCACTTCCACCTCTGGGTTGGGTTACCCGACCGGTGGGATAAGTTGATGTCTCCAGTGCAGTTTTCCAGGGCTTTGTATTGGGTGTTGGGTGCTTGCCAGTTTATGAAAACGACAGTATTTTTTCATGTGGCTATTGATCCTTATATGTCTTCTTCCCTATCAGTCATACAGTGACGTGAGTAACAGTCCTCTACTCTGTCCCTCTGCACCAGACAAGACAGCTCTTGACATTGCCTGTGGCTTGGGAGTACTAGTTCAGGTCCCGAATCTCTGTAGGACACTCTCCAGCATCCCTCACCATCAGCTGGAAATCCCGAGCAGCTCCTGGGAGCCCATGCTCATGCTTCTATGCATGATTGCCTTTCCTCATTTGTTCCTGTTCCTTAGAACAGATTTCCTGTTCTAAGATAACTGATGGTCAAGAGGGTTGTCACCAGGGCTGGGAAGTAATAGGACACAGCTGAGGCCAGTCGATACCAGGGATATGCAACTGAGTATCAGGTTGATTGATGAGCATTTTGGAGGATACATTATTGGGGGGCAACAGAGAGGTCTAGAGATGGGGACTCACAAAAGGGTGCTGATAGTCCTTGCAGAAGGACTCAGAAATTCAAAGAGTGGAGCTGAGGAGGGAAGAACCAGAATAGAAGGGATCAGAGTTCATTCATCAGAGATGAATGGCTCAGGAGGAATTTTGCTGAGGGTGGTCCTTGTCACCTGGGTACCTTCTAGATTACCTACACAGGAGGCAGCGCTGCTTGAGGCTGTCACTCAGCTGCCAATCATCTGGTTGACTGATGGGATGGGACTCTGAGAGTCTCACTCTTGCACGGGAGCATATGAAACCATCCTGCACCTTAAGTCGTTGCCCACAGCTGAGAGTGGAGCAGCTCTGGATGCACTACTGCATTTAAACCCAAGTGGGACCCAGAACGTGGCCACTCATTGCAGGGAACTCGTCAGCGGTTTCCCCATGTGCCCCGTGATGCATTGCCTTGACCTCCTTTATCAAATCTGTCTTCTCCATATGCCTAGTGGCTCCGGCCAGAATAGAACTGGCCACTGGGTGACCCATATGTGAGTCATAGAGATCCAGGGATCTGTCATCATGTCTTTTGTTTCTTCTATCCTTTTTATAAATTCAAAGTGGGTTAAACCTTGAAGTTCAGAAAAACTAAGTAACTTGGAATCAAAGTTCACACAGCTCATAAGAGGCAAAACTAGCTGTAGTCCCCAATAACCACTTTCCCCACCTTCATCCTTCAATAACAGAACTCTGATTTTATCCGGAACTTCAAGGCATCAGTCAAAGTCTACATTTCCCAGCCTCCTGGGCAGCTAGGTCTGGACAAAGAGATGTAAACACGAGTTAGATCACGTCTACTGAAAACAATCCAATAGCCTCCTGTCTCACTCGGGGTAAAACCAAAATCCTAACAGGCCTTCGAGGCCCTGCACATGTGGCTCCAGTAGTCCCCTCTGTGACCTCAGCTCCTGTCGTCTCTATGCTAGCTTTGCTCCAACCACACGGGCCTCTGGTCTTTGTGGCTCCCTCTCTTACCTCTTTCAGGACTTAGCTCAATTTCGCCTTCAGTGACACTCTTTGAGCAGCTACTTAAAATTGCAGTACTCCTCTCCCCAATGCCCCCAACACTCTCCTCTGCTATATTTCTCTCCACTGCAGTTAATACTCTCATCGACTCTATATTCACCTTATTTTTTTCTGTCTTCCTCCACTAGAATATAGATTTTAGAAGGGCAGCTGTTCAGTTTTGTTCACGGCTGTATTCCAGTGTCTGTCACATGGTGGGCACTTAATAAATATCTTCAGTGGATTATTGTGGACCTTCTAAAAAGGCTGCTTAAGGGAAGTTGACTCAACTGAGGGAAATGCCTATTGGCCTTTCCTTCTTTCCATCTTTCCTCCTTCTCTCAGTCTAGAACTCAGACATGATGGCTGGAACCTCAGTTGCCATCTTGGATCTGAAATAACCTTGAAATGGGATCCATGGACTAGTATGGTAGAGTAGGGAGACACAAGGAGCCAAGGTGGAGTTCTCTTATCAATCCTGGGCTCTGTCCTCCAGATTTCTTTTACAGGAAGGCTGATCAACGTCTACTTCGTTTAAGCAACTGTGTTTTTGGGTAACTGCTGCACCAGCATTGGACCCTAGCTGGGTATGACTGGCCCAGAATTTTACAGATGTCAGAACGTCCTTTCTTTCCTTATTTGTGTGGCAAACTCCTACACTTTTAATGCCACCTTCTCTCTGGCAGAATTCTGTTTTTCTTTCCCTGGTTATAACACGTATCACACTATTTTGGTAGCTTTGGTAAGGGTATTTCTTTCTAGTAGGTTCTGAACTCCTGGAGGAGAGGGTTCATCACTTAGTCTTCTCATAACCCTGGCAACTAGCACAGAACTTGGCACCGAGGCTGACCCTATTTGACACATAACAGAGGCTTAATAAATGGCTGCTGAATTGTTTGGCTGAATACTTTGAGGCTTGGAAAATCAACAACCACATCAATTATTCCAACTACAGACTCTATTCTATATTTACTCACACGTAAGAGAAAGATGAGCTCACCATCCCAAGCATTACCACATTAATAATAATGACAAGGATAATGATAGTGATGATAGCCCCTTACATAGGAATGTCACTTCATAATTTTCAAGGCACTTTCCAAACCGTTATCTCATTTGTGTCTCACAATACCCTCTGCAGAAGGCAGGGCCAGTTACGCTCATATTCAGTTTATAGATGAGCAATATGGTGATCAGAGAGGCTAAATGAGTCTTCCAAGCCTTTCAGCTATTTAGAGGTAGAATTAAGACCAAAATCAGGTCTTTAGTCAGCCAAACCAAAGCTCAGCTGTGATTGATAACACTCAATGACTAAAACATCATGGTGATTATAATAAATAAAACCAAAGCCCTTCAAAATGGGAAAATGAGAAGAGCCAGCTTCTCTCTGGTCCTAATAGATGAGGCTTACTTCCCAACCTTAAAACTGCAAAACTCTGAAAACAACCCAAACATTCAACCAGTAAGGAACTGGTTACAAAGGGTGGATTAGGGCCATCTACTGAAACACTAGCAGCTATTTAAAAGAATAGCACTATTCTTTGAATACTGATATGGGAAGGAGTCCAAGATCTATTCTTGGGCTCACATACAAAAAAATCAGATTACAGATGAGTACATATGGTGCAATCTCATTCATATAGAACAGGGATCAGCAAACTACAGCCCACAGGTCGGTGGCTGCCTGGTTTTGTAAATAAAGTTTTGCTGGAACACAGCCATTTGTTTACATATTGTCTGTGGCTGCCTTTAGCATTACGAAGCAGAGCTGAGCAGTGGCAACAGAGACCATCTGGAGTAAAAATACTTACTCTCTGGCCCTTTCCAGAAAAAGTTTGCCAACTCCTGGTGCAGACTTTACATTACTTTATGTTTATAGAAAATATCCAAAATGAGATACCAAGCTGTTAATAATGGTATTGCACGGGATGATGGTATTTGGGGGCATGCTAAGTAAGAGTATATCGTATATGCTTTTATATTGTTTTATTTTTCCAACAAACATGCATTCCTTTAAAAGGAGGCAGAATGGAAGATAGTTCTATTTTGCATTTAAGAAGAATGACCCCTAACAGCAGCAGGTGGTGGGAATAGGGGTGGTAGCCAGTGTGGCCGTAGCTTCCAGGCCTACAGTGTTACTTCCAAGGGCTTGAAAGAGAAAATACATGCTTTTTAGGAACTTCCATTAAGAATCGATTCACTTTGGTCTTTCCTGTGTTATTTCAGATTCTCTAATACACACTTCAAACTCTTCCCTCTGAAACGCCCCTGGCCCCCACTCCGGCACGGAGGGCTTCTACTTAACCTTTAGGGCTCTGTCTAAATGGACTCTGCTCAGAGAGGCCTTCACTAACGACCCTTCTGATTTCTTTCTCAGAGAAGCCTGTTGTTTTCTTTCCTAACTTCTTATGCTTCTTACTTCTTGCTGTTTCCCTCACTCACCTGTAAGTTACATTAGGGTAGGCACCATGATTACTTTGCTCCCTGCTATATTCTCAACACCCAGCACAGTGCATGGCATGAAGTGGGAGTCACCAAGCATTTGCTGAATGAATGAATATGTCTCGCATGTGCGTGGATGTTTCAGCACGTTCTTGCCTAGGAAAAGCCTGCCACACATGCTGGTATATGAGAATAAAGGGCCTTCCCCCCACTGGTTCTGTTGATATCCATGGCCTGGAGAAAGACACACACCTCCCTGTGACTCTATTTTAGTAACTGTATCCAAAAGACAGGATCCCTGCTGTT